TACGCCACCCCTGTTTGAGCCCCCACGCCCACTCAACCACGCCCACGCCCACGCCCACGCCCACGCCCACGCCCACGCCCACTCGTCCCCGTATATATTTTTTGATAAAAAAGTCTTGCCGTTTTGCGAGTCTTGTGCTGCGTGCAACCATTCCAGTACGGAGTAGCATGACCTGGAAGTGGCGAGTGTCGCGTTGCTGGCTGGGTCACGGCTTCATACGAAGAACGAAGAACGAAGAACGAAGAACGAAGAAGTGGCACCGCCCCCTTATCCGAGTCTGCCACGACCACGACCACGACGCCCTTTGATCGACTCTTTAGCTCGGTGGGGGTGGGTCGACGGGCCGAGTCCACACTGAACAGCTTCTGCCTTATCGAGACTCCACTACATAATTTCACCAAGATAACCATCTTTTTTTTTTTTTTTTCTCTTTTTTTGCTCCAGGATGGTCTCCTTGTTACAGTCAAGTAGTTGGTCCCTCGCTCATCCTTTGCGCCTTTACTACGATAGTTCGGAGTTCTGTTTCGAAAAGGATCTTTTCGCCCGTGTTAGGTCTCTTCTTTTTGATACAACCCCTTGCCCCTTTTCCTGATCTGAATTAATTCGGGAGTCTGGACTCGCCGTAGTGCCGGACGAATCCTATCGGACATGCAGCACACCTAACTCGAACCCTGTCATAACCCATATGAAAGCCGACGCACGCAAAGTCGGATTGCATCATGCCGATGTCAATTCTCTCCATCGTTCTTGAACATCTGCTTTGTACACCCTCGATTCCCAGTTAGACTTTCTCGTGCCATGTTGGAGGTTGGAGGGCTTGAGGCTAGTCGCCTGCAGGGTCTTCAGGAACAGGAAATATACTTATATCCTGGCCAAAACCGGTTTGACGTCTCTCTCAATGTTACCATTCCATTATGGAAGGGGGGGGGGGGGGGGTTCCTTCGGTAGTAGTGCGGCTGCCGGGCAACTGAAGCCTGTCCTGTGATTGTACGTAGATAGGTATGCTTGCTGCATTGTTGATGGTATTCGGACAGGCCCCTCCACTACACTTGTTGTCTTTTCTTAAGATTGCAGAAGATAGCGAGCATTCAATCTAAAGTCTGCCAAACTGACATATCACTTCCCCGCACTTTCCATATATCCAATCATGGTTCAAGGAGCATTCATGCACCTGTACGACGGGCCCGAGTACATCTTGTTTCCATGTACGGAATTTGGAATAGTAGATTAGGGTTAGTTGGCCGTCATCTACCATTGGACAAAGTCATCCTGCAAAGTAAAGGGTGTTAATTTGCTACAAGATGCCGCTGCTTTGAACAAGTTGTATCGACTAACTACTACTCGCGGGGGATTTTAAGTCGTGCATGTACCTATGTTACTTCGCCCGCTCCTGGCCCGGCAACCCCACGCGGTTTGCAGGAGCCAAGAAGCATCCAAGGTAGAACTTGCACAATATATCGCACTTGAAGTCTGAGAAATCGAACAAGTGGGAGCATTTTTATCTCTTTGCTGTTGATCGCCCTCGCCGGCAGTCAGTCGCCGGATGCAGATCTTGTTGATCGTCCGCGTTGCCAGACGCGTTGTGTTGAAGATCTTTTCGAGTACAGTACAATAACGGGAGTAGAGCCGAGAGGTCCTTGGTGTTGGCACCACAGAGTCGCAATCGTGCTGCCGGTAGGAAGTTTATCGCCGCAGCTGTATGCAGTCACAGAGGGGGACTAGCTGGAGTGGCAATTCATACCCTGTAGACTCGCCCCCCTAAAGCCTAACCGATGAAATACCTTGCAACAATAAATCTATAGCCTTGTGTTGAAAGTTCAATGTTTCTCTTGGTCGGTGCTACGGAGTAAGTTTTGTCTTTCGGCTTTCAGGGGACGGCATACGACGCTGGTATGGTAAAACTCCTACATCCTTTGCAATCCTCCGCAAAAGTTCAACGCAGACTGTTAAAGGCGAAATCCGAAATGCAAGTTTATTAACACGAAATGCGATGTCGCAATCCAGCACAGCCCTTGGGGTTCCCTGTGCTCGTCAGTGCATTCATCCTCAACATCCCCCCTTTCCAATCGTCGGAAAGATCCGAGAGTGGGGACACCCTTCCTCCATATGCTGCGATATGGTTCAACAGCATCTTCTGTCGTCCTATCTATCATCGAATTTCTGTAGCTCTAGCTGTATGCCTCGGACCATTTCTCGCAGCTACCGGTATAACTCGCAAAGTCGCACAGCAACATCAAGTAAATGCCACAATAACTACGCTACACTTTAATATCACGTTTCTGCCTCACTCACCTTCCCCATCTATCATGCAATCATTCCACTTCTTCATGCGGCACCGTGCCCTGCCCTTTCCCCGCACAAACTCGGCATCCCGACAGACGGGCAAGTCAGATCACGCTACTCAACATCGTCTTGTGTAACTCAAGGTACCTACCTTCCGGTATATACCGTTCCTGTAGCCTTTATATCAGATATCATTCTTTCTCACTGCAGTCAGCAATTGCTTCCCCACACCAGACCCGCCACTGATTGATATGCGTATGGTTGTAATATCAATATCGTTCACGTTACCTAACCACACGCGAAGGCGTGCTCTTGTAAACATTATTACGATCTGTCGTTTTTGAGCGCGTCGTTTCATTTAGGGGTAAATCGGAAATGGCGTGTTGATTGGTACTTGTAGCACGTGAATATGCATGGTGTTGAAAGGGGCTTTGAAACGCTTCCTGTGCACCTGTTGCTGTTTGAGGGTCCATCATCTGGCCATAGTACTCCATGGTGAAACTTACTCGCAGAGGCTGGGCTTTCTATACACTCTCAATCCTAGAAGTTGTCGAAACTTCTGAAATAAGCTTGAAGGGCGCTTGGGTTCAGAAGGGAAGCACAGAGCAAGGATTCTAGTTGCAACATGGCACGGGATAGTTCCCTTCAGGCCAACGAGGGACGGCAGACTTTATTTTTTGATTCTATCAATCGGATTTTTCATTGTTAGCTATTGTACGAAAGATAGCCCCCTCTTCAATTGGGGTGTCAGTTCATCTCAAGTTGCATGCGCTTGTGTATAGTATCTGCATCTGCTGAGGTATTTTGTTGACCTGAGATGAGATTACAAGCCGCCCAGCAGATTGTATACACCTACTCCTAACAGAAAACAAGACTTACTAGAAAGTTTAGCATAATTTAGTTTTCAATAGTATGAGACTGGTCCGTCCTCTCAGCCCATGCGTGAATTGGGATTGAGGAGAGGAAGAGGGGGGGGGGGGGGGGGAAGGGGAGGACGGGTGTATAAAGACGCGGGATCTAGAGCGCAGGATGAGGTAGATGGAGCGAGCAGTGGACATTTGGTCAAGTGGGAAGGACTTTTCTAACAATGAGAGTGCAGAACTTCTGGTAACGCGAAAGGAAGAGCAGGATACCGGTATATCAGGTACCAAGAAGAAGAATCTAGCCTGGGTTCATGTTGTAGCTGCTGGGACTGTTTGTTTGCATGATGGCAAAACCTCAAGTAGGTCTACATAGCAGCAGTGTTATAGGTAATATCTACAAATTCCGTGAAAAGGGGCAGAGCGTGTTACGAAGCATGTTTACCTTTGAATTTAATCACTTTGATCATGAAATGTCGCAGAAGACTGACTGTATTGGTATCATAAAGTATCATTTCCATAAACAAAAGGAAGCCCATGCATTTAAAAAGACAGACGCTCATCACGCTCTCGTAAAGTAATTTCAATCATCCAAGCCCGCTAATCCTAATATCTTCAAACATAATATCGTTTATAACATCATACTTCTGCGTCGTGCTGCAATCCTGTCTCCCCTGGAATCACCTGCCGCTGGATCGGGGAGGTTCGCGGTAACAGTAGTATTTCTCGTTGTCTTCGCTGGCTCCATGCGCGTCGAGGAAGTTTTCAGTCCTAGAGTAGACTGTCTTCGTCGTGTTGTTAAAGGTTCCTTCTTCGTCGCTTCAATATCAGAGGCTTCGCCATCTTCTGGCCCTGCTAAATCCGCTACTAACTCTGGCGGGATTGATGACTGCCGCCTCGAGGACCTAGAGGCTGGCCTTTCTTCTTTGAAAGTTTTAGCTGCCGAGGGTTGCCTAGCAGGCGAATTATCGTTGAATTCATAGATGTCAAGGTTTTCCGTGGCTTTGGTCAAAACGCCATCTTTCTCCAGTTGTCGTACTTTCGCTGCCGCCTTGGCCTTTCTATGTTCCGAAATGAGGGCTGAGATGGCAGTTTCCGACACAGTCCGAGGCATGTCCTCCGGGAGTTGATGAAGAAGGGACTCGCGTCGTTTTCTGTGAGTAGTGATACTGCTTGGTAGAGCTTCCTGATCCAGTGCTTTGTTTCTGAGAGGACTGTTCTCCACAGTCGAAGATGATGCGAGTGGCATTCGTTTCCAAGCATCTTCTTCCTCTGGTTCTGCTTTGATGCTCATTCTAGCTGATATGCTGTCATCTTCAAGCTTGACGATACTACCTCGACTAGACTTTCCTTCTCCAGTTACAGCATCAACTAGGTCCTTCGTCGGCCTCCTCATCTTATCTCGTAGACTCGGTTCAGCATAACTAACAGCACCTCGAGCTCTTCTACTGGGTCTCTGGCCTTCAGAATGAAGATCGGGCGGCGGAGGCGTATCTCGAGATTCCACCCGAGCTGTAGATGGCTGTGACGACGACGGAGAAAAAATATCTAGCCCCGCTGGTGTTTCTGGTTCAAGTTCGACCTCAATGGTCTTGGCTAAAGGTTCATCCCGAGGCTTGATAATCACTTGCTCTGGATTTCTGTCCCGCGTGCGGTCCTTTTCCAGATTGAACTTAGGGACATCGGCTTTAGCTGCTTTGGCTGCTTTGGCATTGAGCTGATCTGGCGGTTTCCCGCTCTTTCTTGGAGAGTCGTTCACATTTTTAGGTGCTAATGCCCTCCTATTCGTCGCCGTTGTAGTTGCAGTGGTACTAGTTCGCTTCTCTCGAGCACCTCTAGCAACTGCAACTTCCCTTGCGGACTTGGATCCAGCATTTTCAGGTTGCGGGACGGGTTTGTTCTTGGCCCTATCTTCGCTTGATACACGTGTAAATTTGAAGTCATCTGGGGATTGCTGAACCGGCTGCGAGACAGGCTGATGTTCCTCATCGTCCCTGACACTGAACTTTCGCTTCGCCCCAGTCTTGAGCGATCCCGCATTGGCTTGGGCTACCTGTGTAGCCTGTGTGTAGTTCGTGTGTTTGGGTTCGTTAGGACCTAGACTGTCTTTGCGCTTCCTCCTCTGTTCTAGATTGATAGATTGGGCTGGATCTAGTCCAGTCAGGTCCTCAAGATCGTTCTTTCGTCCTCGTTTGGGAAGGTCAATCTTGACAGGATCCTCGTCGACGAATTGCGAGACTGGTGGAGGCCCAATCTCAGGAGAATCAGTTGTGTCTCCTCTAGCATCTGCCTCTGATACCAAGTTTACTAATTCATGATGCCTGTATAAATCAGCATGGCCCGAAAGTATAGAACGAGTGGCAACGCATTGGACGCACTCAAGGGTTTGCCTTGGATAGGCTTTATCCTCCAAAATAGGAGGCAGCCTTCCTTCTTGGCCAGCAACTGCTTCACTCAAAGTACATATATTCTTCCATCTCTTCTGATCTGGACTCGTACTAGGACTTGCTTGTGTGGTTCTCCCGCCTTGGGAGATCCTTTTCTTTCGTGGTGGCACATCTCCCAGACTAGTTATTAAGGCGCCGATTTCAAGCAACTTGGCCTCCAATTGAGATTTCACAACTTCAGTGTGATCTACTGTCCTCTGAGCCTTCCCATTTTCCAATTGATTGGCAAGGCGTATAATTTGTTCGTTCAGGCCCAGATTCTCCGCGAGCAACCTAGACACCTCATTCTCGAGGTTTCGAATTCGCAGTGATTGTGTTGAATTTGTTCTGGCGATATCGCGATTCTGGCGCATAAACTTGCGCTTTACTGTATATTATGTGAGCTATGATTTCGAAAGGCGCAAGGCGGTGAACTTACAAGACTCTATGCTTTCAGTCGGCGCTGGAACCTCGTTCAAGCGGGCCATCTGTACATAGCATGCGGCAAGTTGTTTCGATATTGGTAATAATTATTCTCGGGCTGAAGTGTATGTTATAGTCCAGGTCGAAGGGCAATGAGCGAAGGGGAAGCAAACTGAATGTTGTGAGTTTGTGCGTGGAACTTTGGAAACAAAGAAATTGCTGTTGTTTACTTTGGGATGGAAGAGGTTAGAGTGGCCAAGAGATCCCTGTCGAGCTCAACGGGATAGGGATGCATAACTCCGTAGACCTAGGTACCGCTTACCATCAAGCAACATCGAAAAGCATCAGCGAGCGAGCAAAGACCGCTACTCTACGAATCGAGGAGGATACAATCGCATACGTTCGCGCCAATAATCTATATTTTCACAACATCCCATCCCCAAACCCCATAATCCCACAACGCCCCGCCATAATGTCATATGCCTCGCGACCCCTCCCTTCTCATATGCGACAGCCTTCGAGTTCTGCAAATTCAAACTCCGCATCGACAGGCCAATCCCCAATACTTTTAGCAAGAATAACCGAGAAGAAAGCCGAGTTAGAGAACTTGAAGCAGTTGCGGGATCTCAGCGCAGGACTAGCCGGACAGATGCAGATGCTAGAGGAAAAGCTGGCTACGCTTTCAGATGGTACAGAAGGTAGGTGATACGGTGGGCACGCATTATGTGGACAAGGCTGATCTTAAGGTATCTTTAGCTGTAGCTACTGTATTAGGGAACTGGCATAATGTCCTTCGTGCGATTAGTATGGCGTCGAGTGAGTGTTCCTGCGGTCAATTCTAGGAGTCGTGGCTAATCGATGTGCAGTGAAAATCCCTAAACCGAAGGACACAGAAGAGAGCGGAAGTGATGAGACACAAAAGAAAGATGAGGCCGAAGGGCAAGGGCAATTACCACAGACTCTCGTCAGAATCCCTACTGAGCATGCGCCAATGTTGCAGCAACAAGCTGGTGCTAGTAGCGGCAGTGGAGAGTGATATCCTGCGTCGCAGACTTATGGTGGAATGAATTATGAATCGGAGTTGACATGTATGGAACCGGCGTTGATTAGATGGAGGAAGGAGGGAATTGGATTGGCATTATGATTATGGGATACCCTTGAGAGTCAATGGCTGAGGAACTTATGTCCGAATTACAAATGGAAAGGTGTATATTGCAGTTGTACCCGCCGATGTTGAACGGACTTCCAAGACATCTTATATTGTTGGTTTGAGAACGGAGTGAGAGATTAAGCAGGGAGAAATGGATATTCTGAGAGTCCACACAATCCTGGCTCCCAGGACAATTATTTGAGCATTAGTGCCATAGTGATGGCATATCATTTTCATAGAAGTTTTACATTTAGATGGGCTTTATGTCGATTCTGGGTTGTGTAAAATTCATCTCCAGTATTGGAGTATATCGACGCGTTCAAAGGTTCGAAAGCGCGTCGCGTTGGTTGCCCTGCCAATATCGTGCCAAACATGCGCGCATCTTATTAACAGGGAGGGATGAATGTTTCGGCAAGGGACATCCATCCTATCCTGCCTTATATCTCGATCGATAAGTGCACTGACAAGACGATCCATCACATCGCATCCCACTTCAACATTGATACCGACGTTACTCAACTGGCTTTGGCACACGTCGCACCGCATTCAGAAAATTGTATTCATTCCTCCTTCAAAGTCTCCGAAACAACATCGCAGCATCAGCACCAAATCCCCAGTCCGCGATTCATCAATTGAATTCACTGCGCCGCTGCACTATCCACGAGATCATGTCTCGTGTGACCCGGTCACGTAAAATCGACATTGCTGAAGACCACACTGCTCTCGCAATCCAGACGCCATTGCCAGAAACACCTACGAAATCAGGCTCCCTTGCCGAACTCAGCGTCGCAGAGAAAGTCAACGCCATGTCGACAACACTTGAAGAGGTCCCGATTGCTGCTCAGGTAAAGCAACTGAAAGCAGCCTATCGTGATGCCATTGGGGTTTCGAAGAAGGGCAAAAGGGGGAAGGGCAAACAAGTCGAGGACTGGGAGGGAGTTGAGAAGGATGCGAATACAAAAGAAAGCCCGGTTCCTGAAGCTACCCGACAGCTACTTCAGAGCCGTGAAGGTAGTTTGGTGTCTCTCCTGGAGAAAATGGCCCTGCAAGATCTAACTCCGACTGCTCCAGAAGCTGGTCCTGAACAAGAGGAACCAAATCCCACACCATCACTTCCAAGTGCACGTCTTACTCGTCGCCAATTGGCAATGCAACAAGCAGGTCAGTATACTTCCACTTCACTCGATGCCAATGCTTCTTCTTCGAGTGCCCTTGCTCAACGAGACTCATTTTTTACTTCTCTTTTTGGCGGTCGCCGTCCTGCTGTTCGGCCGCGTAGAATTCCACTGCCCAGCGAGAGGTTCTCCGACTACGAATCTATGACTGATCAGAATTTACATATAGCGGAGGAGGAATTGATGAAGTCAACACAAGACAGTGAGCCTGCATCGAAGGATATAAATGTTAATGTTTGCGGTGACACAAAGATTTATGGTGAAGACGGCAGCCAGCATATTCAGACTCATGTTACAGAAATTATCCGCACCCCAGCGAAGCAATCGGTCAAGACTCTCGAAGAGGTTGAACAAGCCTTTTCAGAGGAGAAATCTGTAGCCTCTATTGAAGTTGAACAGGAAGACTCCTTTGTTGAGCAGATCACTTGCCGATCACCAGCAAAACCTGTTTCTCGCATTGAGGATTCAGTTGAGGCTCTTGATCGGCTCGAAGAAGCACTGGAAGCTCTCGATCAAGCCGTACAGCCTGAGCGAATAGCCTCGCCGAAGATGCTACGAAATAAAGTTGAGCCAAAAGCAGCCGCTCCGGTGCCAAAGGCATTTAGAGAGAAGGTGAACGTTGCGGCTAAGGCCGTCGCCGAAGCTTCTCAGAAGTCAAGCCCGCCCAAGCAACAAACCCCAAAGACCGGTTATGCTTCCATGCGTGTGAAGCCAACGGCACCAAAGCAACGGCCGAGTATTAAAAAGGCCACATCCATGATATTTAAGCCAGTCGCTGCCGAGAGTGACAAATCACTTCCTGAAGAAGTCAAAGTCCAGCCCGCTGGTAAAGCACCTGTCAAACGCCCTATTAGTCTCCTTCCACCAAAGGGGCCTTTAAAGTCAACCAAGCCCCCTACACGCGCATCGTTTGAACTACCCGGCGAAGCTGTGGCACGGAAGTTAAAAGAACAACGCGAGGCCCGGCTTGCTCAACGGGAGTCTAACGAGGAGATTTCCCATACAAGCCGAGTTGTCTCTGGCCCAAAGACAATCAAGTCTGCTAAGCCGCCTACCAAGTCGACCTTTGAGCTTCCTGGCGAGGCCTTATCTCGAAGAAAGAGGGAAGCACATGAAGCTCGTCTGAAAGCCCAAGAAGAAGAAGACCGCAAACGCCGAGAGTTCAAAGCAAAACCGCTCCGCAAGAGCATTGTACCTGGTGTCGTTCCCCGCGACACGGTTGCGAGTCGCGCTCGACAGAGCAGGATTGGACTTGAACACATGGAAGACGGTGATCTTTCTGTGGCCAAGCGAGGCTCCAATGTCGGTGCGCATCGTCCTTCCCTCCAACAGCTTAGTCTTGCCAATATGTCGGCTCAACGAGCTCCAGGACCGAAGGGCGGCCTCATTCGCAAGCCTTCGACAACTAGCGGTCCATCTATGAGCGGTCTTCATATGCAGAGAACTGTTTCTGACAAAGAGGTCCTGATTCAACGTCAACGCGCCAAGGAAATCTACACTCGAGATGCTAAATTGACTGAAGATATGGAGAGAGAGAAGCAGGCACGCGAGGCTGCCGCTAAGCGCGCGCGGGAAGAAGCTGCTGAGAGAGGACGCCAGGCTAGCAGAGACTGGGCTGAGAAGCAACGAGTAAAGAAATTGACCGCGACTGACAAGGGACTAGGTGCTGGATACGGACCGGGTGGACAATTGGGGTTGAGCAGATGATGAAAGTCTATCCTGCAGTCGGAGGAGGCGTCCGAGAAGTGTATATTTGTGTTTAGTCGCTCTTTACGATTAGGTTCATTTCCTTTGTGGTTGTTCAGGCTCAGCGTTCGCGTTAGGAGTTATCGGTTACATACCCCAAGCAGAGGAGGCTGTATTCATTGCTACCATCTGATCCGTGAGATTAGATAACTTACTAATCTATAGGTTCCGTTCAGGTTGTCGTTTGATAGGAGTTGTGGCGGAGGAAGTGTAAGGATATGTCCTAGCCGCTGTGCCACCAATTCTGGCACCTCAAGTAGTCTTTGAATAAAATGAGTACCTATTACTTTCAAATATGATGGGAAACGAGTGGCTAATGCGTAAGTAACAGCAGGAAGCAGAATACTCTCTAAAATCAATTAACAATGTGATGCAAAACAATGGGTAGTGCCTAAGAAACAAAAGATTTTCCGAGTCACTTGACAATAATCAATTTAAATTTGCCTTGAAATTCCCGTCTCTCTTTAGCTGTTTTTGTATTTGTTCTTGCCCTATATAACAAGTCATTGGCTTAATTTCTTCCTACTATATTCTATCCAGACTATCCAGACTATCCCAAAGACCCAATAATCTACAAAAGAAAATCCCTCCAAGAAAATCGAAAGATTCGTATCTGAAGTCCAAGCCCGAGAAAACTTGAAGATGGCAGACTAAGAAAAAATTGCATGCCGTTTTTCGCGCGGCACAAACAGCTCAGCTATCAAGGTCTGTGACAGCTTCACTCGGTTCTCGGATCTTCCATCGATATACTCCGTATCGACCCTTCACTGCCGGGACTCCGAAGGTTGATCGAGCGATGTCCTCGGGGGGTAATGGAAAAGGCGCAATGGCTTGAAATCGGCGAAATAAACGGAGCGGACCAAGAGTACATACCGCCGGAAAAAGCCAACCTTCCAGCGACTGTCTGCTTGTAAGTCTCTCACCATAACACATGGGCGTCAAATTGATAACCTAAAGGCTGAGCGGCCAATTCTGGAAGCTTTGGAGGACTTGCGGACGTTTCTATTGATACCCTGGGAACGAGTTGCCAGGGTTAGAACTCGCAGCTATAGTACCTTCATATTCCAAAGACAATTGCTACCAATCAAAGCGAATATTTATCCAGACCGGTGCTAACCTTGAGCATGGAAGTCTTGGAACCATCACATCTGTTGGAAATATCGAGTGGGCCGAAAAGGATATTTCGCGGATTGATCTGGAAACGAAGTTTCAAAAGCTGTCCAATTTGTCCCCACAAGAACGGAGTCAGCCGTTCGCAGAGAGCCGCGCTGTAATTGCAAAATTCCGACTAGCTGGAAAGGAAACTGCAAATGCAGAACGAGGCCCTGCTTGGGATGCCCAGCAAGCTGCAAATGCTAACATTTGGGGTTTGAGGGAGATACCACCTGATCCAACAGTAGTCATGTCCCGCCCTCAGTGGGGATGGATTAATGTGTTGTTTGGTCATACTTAAGTAGAAAGTATATCTCAAAAGACATTTTAATCAAAAGCCAGAGAACATAGCTGTGTCAATATCAAGTGAGACTAAGTTTAATGTCTATAATGTGTACGTATGAGAAGCATGGATTAGATACCCGTTCTACTTTTCGCCACGGCTCACACCTACGCATAGCCTTCTTATATATAGACATTCGTTGACTTCAGAGCTCATAGTTTAGCTCTAATGTTCTTATACAAGACATGACCGAGTCTAAAGAGTGTTTCTGCATATGAAGTGAGATTCCCCTGAACTAACTAAGCCTAATTCGGAGGTCATGCTTTTCCAACTGACAACACTTCAGCATTTCCAGCACTAATGGGATTTGATTAGAGTATTGAGTTGGCTCAAGTAGTAAAAAGTATTTCGCAGCCTAAAACCAAATAAATTAGGTCATTCAACATATGATTATAAAGCCTCGGCGCCCGGCTTCTCGACGCTCTCGTCTAAAATGACCCTTGTCACCAAGCAGACCTGTCGAGGTCTTAGGCTTGCAAAATCCACCTTCGGGACCATTCGCTCCTTCATATATCTTAAGAAAGGCAAAGACAGTTCTCCGAACATGAAGAATAATAGACCGACGGTCACCGTTCGCCAAGGCACAATTATCGGCATCGAAGTGAAGGTGCAGATTGATGCAAGTCTTGACGTGATCCTAGAAGAGTTCCTTGGTGTTCCATTTGCGTTGTCTACAACAGGCGAGAGGAGATTCAGCCCGCCTGTTCCATTACCGGCTTCAGAAGAAAATGAATTCGATGCGGGGAGCTGGGGGCCACGCTGTCCTTCTGGCGAGGATGATGGGACTTCCAGCGAGGATTGTCTCAATCTGAACATCTTCCGACCCAAGCTACGAGATGCGCACAAAAAGCTCCCAGTCTTAGTATACGTCCATGGAGGTTCTTTCAATTTTGGCTCTGGGAATGCAAGGCAAATCGACGATCTTGTTGCTTGGTCCGAGAAGCCTATGATTGGAATTAGCTTTAATTATCGAGTTGGTGCTTTTGGGTTCTTGAATTCGAGGTTTATGGCCAGCAAGGGGTTGCTGAATGTTGGGTTGAAAGATCAAGAATTCGCGCTTAGGTGGGTGAAGGAAAATATTGAGGCGTTTGGGGGGGATTCGGGGGATGTTACGTTTATGGGTTCAAGTGCGGGAGCACATTCAGTATGCATGCTTTCATCGTTGAGAGATACCCCCTCCCCCTATCCCATCTTTCATTCAAACACGAACTCACCATATTACAGGTAGGACACCATTTGATGCACAACCCGGACGAGCCACCGCTCTTCCACAAAGCAATCATAGAATCCGGTGCTACAACAGCCCGAGCAGTCTACCCCTACGACAACGCCCTCCACGAAGAGCAATTCCAAGACTTTCTCTCCCACCTAAATCTCCAAAAGCCCCCAGAAGACCAAATCATCCCCACTCTCCGCCTCCTACCAACCTCCCGCATCAAAACAGCATCCGAAGCCGTCTTCGACAAATACAGCCTCTCCATCCGCTGGCCCTTCCAACCCGTAATCGACGGCCCAGGCGGTATGATCCCCAAGGCGCCCATCCACGCCTGGCGCTCGGGAAATTACCACAAAATCCCCATCCTAACTGGCTTCAACACCAACGAAGGCGCGAGCTTCGTGCCGTGGTCCTTAGCCACAACCGCGCAATTCACATCCTTTTTCCGCACCATGCTCCCGGGGCTTTCGGAAGAAGATCTCATGGAGCTGGATAAAGTATATCCCGACCCTGTTTCTCACCCTGCGTCCAAGTACGTGGAGCATAGGCGGAATCTGGGGAAGCAGTACAAGCGTGTTGAACAAGCATATGCGCACTTTGCGTACATAGCGCCCGTGCGGCAAACAGCTCAGTATGCTGCGGCTGCGGCTGTTGAAGAGGAAGAAATGCCTGTGTATCTGTATCACTTTGCTGTGGACTGCAGTGTTGATGGCGGAGCAGACCATGGAACTCATTCGTCGTTTGTCACATATGCTAGGCAGGTTAGGACTGTGTCGCCCACAATCAATGAGATTGCGGGCACGATGCATGCGTATTGGACGAGTTTTGTTACGACGGGCGATCCGAATGCCGTGAAGGGGAGGTGGGGAACTAGACCCGAGTGGCCGAGATATGTGGCTGGGGGAAAGGGGAAGAAGATGTTATTCGGAGACGGTAATGACGAGGTTGCTGGATTGAGGAACAAGGGGATTGTGGCACAGGTAGTAGATGATGTGTGGGCAAAGGAGGAATGCGAGTATTGGTGGGAGCGGACTAAGAAATTCGAATCGTGAAAAGAACATAGATGTTGTCTGTCTGTATCAGTTTACACATATAAGCTAGACTCCTTCCGAGCTTACAATATCCCGGGAATAAATTTTCATGATTTGTAGTCGTTCAAGTATTCAAAGGTGTGCAGAAAAAGCAAGCGTAGTAGTTAGTATCCATGACGAAAGAAAGATATCAAAAGTCTTCAGTCGTTGTTATTTCCATCATGAAATTCTTGATATCCACCAACCTGCCAGATAAAATCCCCTGACCCTTTCAAAGATGAAGCTGTAAGGAAATCCCCTCACCATGAAATTCCAGAGCAAAGCTTGCTTTTCATATTGTACATTGTCCATGATTCATCAGATGCAATGCGTTGCGATGCGTTGAAAATGCCAAACAACTTGTGGAGTAAATACCAGTCAAAGTCACAAAAATCCAATTCACAGCTATGCAACTATTCCTCCTTTCTCTTCCTCTCTTCTCCTCTCCTTCCCTCTCACGAACTCAACCCTTCCTTAGCATACGCAATGATATCCTTCCCACCCTCCAAATTCAACATGCCCTCACTCCCACTATCATTAAATCACGTCAGTCCAGCCTAATTCATTCCCACACAACCCAACCCAATCGAACGCAACCCGCTCCACCAAATCCCCCCAAAGAAAAGAAAAAGAGAAAACTTACTCCCAAAACATAACCCCCCCCAAAATTCCCCACCCCCATCCCCACCACCCCACCCACAACATCCCTCATACGCCCCGCGCTCCCAATCGCCTTATACGCCGTCGGTCCCGCCTGCGCCCACGCCGGGGCCCCAAGGTACAACTTCGCCTTACTGCCGCCCTTGCTCAACGCGTCGCTCCACTGCCTCACGCTCGCCTCGAAGCCCGGGGACCCGAGTTCGCACGAGGGGTTGTTGTAGAACTGCACCCAGACGAAGTCGCACTGTAGTAATAGATCAACGGGGTTGGATTGGTCCGGGAATGGACATTGCGGGGCCGAGGAGAGGTAGTATGATTTTATGGTGCTGCTGGAGGAGAAGTGAGCGCGTAGAGTGTGTGCTACGGCGGCGAGACCGGTTGGGTTGTTGTTTTCGTTGTCTGTTCAAAGAGACACGGGGTCTTCGTTAACAAACTGTATCTTTTTATTTTCCGCCTTGGTGGATAGATAGATGCTTTGCAGAGGAGAGGAGGGAAGAGGAGAAGAAAACCAACTCACCAAAATCAAACCCATCAACCTCCACGCCCCCAAACGGCCTCAACATAACATCCATACCCCCCACCGGTCCAAACAACCCCCAAAGCGTATCCGCAAACGCCGCCGCCTGTCCATCCCCCGCAAAACTAAAACCCCCCGTCGAGCCCCCCATACTCAACAACACTTTCTTCCCATACGTGTTCTGACAGCTCGTAATCATGCCCGCCAACTGCGGACAACTCAATAAACCAGGAGCAGACGCACGCATGGCATCAGTTTGTCCACCGCACGCGGGCCCAAAATTGATAGATGGATATTTGGACCCGTCGGGCTGTGAGACGATGAAGGCGAGGATCACGATGTCGATGTTCGGGTCTGCGCATTGGGCCTCTAGGGAGGAGCTCTGGGTAGCATCGCTTTGGCCGAAGTAGACGGCGATGTTCTTGGAGGAGGTCGCGTCGAATGTGTAGCGTTTCTCGGGGTCTGGGACTTGGAGGCTTGGTACTACGGTTAATGAGCTTGTTGACGAAGGTAGTTGTGCGATAGTGTTCATGTTGCCAGGAAAAGATATCGTGGTGCTAGGAGCAGCCACGGGCACTGTATCTAGGACTCCCTGTGAGCTCGTTATGGTGCTAAGAGTAGCCACAGGGACTGTGTCTCGGGTTGTTAAAAAGATGGTCGTGGTGCTAGGAGCAGCCACGGGAACTGTATGAATGGCATCTTCTGAACTCGCTATGGTGCTAACAGCATCCACACTCGCGCTTCTCGTTTTCGTAAGAGCCACTGGTGTCGTGATCGTAATCGTAGTTGTACTTCGGGTCGTTATAGTCGATATTGTTGTAAGTTCAGAGGCAGGAATGGAATCCGGTACAGGTTCTGGCTCTGGTTCTGGAGTCGCTATTGGTGTTGGTGTTGGTGTTGGTGTTTGTATTGCTGGCAGTGCTAGTCCTGCTGTCGATGTCGATATCGGTATCGATTGGAACAAACTCGTCTCACTTGGCATTGCAGTTACATTTGCACTCCCTTGATCCCCAAGCATAGCATCGATAATAGCTATCATGCTAACTTCCGTCTCCCTTAGCGCGAGGAGGAACGGCCGCAGGTCTGCTTGCGGGACTGTGATGATCGGCCGTGGGCTCTGTCTCCTGAAAAGGTCAGCCTTTGCGGGGCATACGTACGTCTTGACGAATCCCATATCTGGTAATTCTACATCCACCGTGTTTTTGGCATCGTGTTGCCTTGGTTCTTGCGATTGATAATGTCCAAATGGTAAGTTCAACGCACAGACGGACGGGAGATTGGGGAAGAGGGATAGGAGGAAGAGGATGGTTAGTAGGGATTGAGGGGGGTAGTGCATTGGTGCTGTATGTATGTGGGTTTTGACTCAGGAACTAAGTCTTTGATTGAGGAGGAAGGAATACAGATGTGACTATTCAAGTTCAACTTTATCTGAACTTATCTATATGATTCCATTGCCTTTCCCAGGTTTGTGGTAAATAGAGATTGGTTGCTCAGAGTGATAGATACATTCTTGAAGCTCCGGGGCTGATGACTAAAGAGCTGGGCTGGAATGCTACAACAGGGTAGCTCAAACGGATATACTAGCTGATCCGAGACTTTGTTCGCACGATTGACCTCTCATCGGAAATAAGAACAATTCAGGCCATTTTATAGATCCATACAAACTACACCAAACAACATACTCAACAAACCCCAAGCCTCAGAACCTCCCTCTGGGTCGATCTCACTCGAGGGCGTCTATACTCCGTAACCTGGCAATGGCACACCAGCACACCAGCACTCTAATCCAACCTGAAATCTCGACACTTATCTATCAGCTGACCCCCTCTTCATTTCCCCAAGAGTGAACAGTCATTCCAACCCGCATTCCTCTAATAAATGACACAAAACAATTTAAGAAGCTTTATATATAAGATCGTCTTGGCTCTTCACTCTTCAGCGACTAGATCTCCACTCGCTGGCTGCTACTCCGCTTGGAGGAATGATTGGAAAGAAAGCCGACTCAAAGATTTTTTCTCAGAACAAGTGAGATATCCATGACATGTTCGATTCCAAGCCAAAGTACTGGCTTGTATCATGACGCTCCTATCACGGAACACCCCACACCAAAATCCTCTTCGCATGTATCACATGTGTCCTTGCCATTTGGAAGCAGCCGAATCGAAAGAAGCGTCCAGCATGAGCCTGTCAACATGAATCTCACTCCATTAACGTTTTCAGATTAATTATCTATATGCGACGCCATTTCCCCGAGCATAAAAACTATGTTCCCTCAATACAAGCCCATTCCTCCACGAGAAATGAAGATTGAGCAAGCAAAAAACAGGTAGAGCTCATCCTGCCCTTACATGTGTGTATGAATTCCGCATCACGTTGTTAACAGATCAAACCCCAACCGTCGTGAAGTCACGGATGTGCGTGTGTACGGTTTTTGACAAAAGAAAATTGAGACCGTCAAGTACTGTAATGACAACGCCCCCGAATGGTATTGTGGTATATGACTACAAGCTTCCCCGTGCAATGCTTCTCGATAGCAGCAGAAACTCTCATAATTCGACTTTTTTTAGATAACAAGGAACAGCAAAAGCTAATTAGAAGTTTTGTGCAATGCCGGAACTTTGTTGTGGAAAGTGTGAGGGGTTTTCTATGCGAGTATTCCTCCGTGCTTGCACATCACGGATAATTGGCTGACCAGACATTTCTGCTCGTCCTGGCGGGCTGCCATATGGTTGTTCAGTACCATAAGGGTTGCCCGAGTCGTACTGGTTGTTGTTGTAGTATGGACCACCCTCACCAGAACCGTCTGATCTATTGGCTGCACTATACGATGACGACGCGTTTGAAGGTCCACGGTTTATATCAGAGCGATTGCCTGATGCGGCGGGGCCCATTTGACCTAGAGCCTCGGCCTCGCCGGGTTCGCCAGATAGTGGTCGATCACCCATCAATGCATTGTTAGATCCAGCGTCAGATGGACCATGAGTAGGTGAGGTTTCTCCCGAGTGAGCAACACCAATTCCTCCAGCGGAATTGCCTCCCGATAGTGTCGTTGAACCCTTCCGCCCAGATGAAGCTACAGCTGTTGTGCCCCATCCACGGTATCCAGAAGATCCATCCTCACGCATCTCATATGCGCCATCATGGCCAGCCGAACCAGCGACAGCAGGTAATGTTGGGTCGTTGTTAGGATTGTAACCGTACTCCTCAACTTCCTTTCGCCGTAATTCCTCAGCATCCTTGCGTGCCTTGCGTTTCCGCCATAAGTATAGTCCGAGAAGGACGAGAAGAGCAACGGCAACAATAGGAACTACTACAGCGACTGCAACAGTTCCGCCCGTACCGAGACCACTGCTTGAACTCTTTCCGGAACTTTGAAGTCCAGCAGTTGTCGAGGCAGATGCGGAAGACGACGCTGCTGTTTGAGAGGCTTGGGTCGTTTCCGCGGGAGCTGTGGAGGTTTGATATATTGTTCGCGTTACGCCACCGCTTTCAGAGGTTATCACGGAGGTGATGACAGTCGATGCTTGTTGCGTTGTCTGGGTTGTCTGCGAAGTGGTGTCTTGTGTTGAACTTGCTTGGGTACTGGTGTCTGTGCTGGTCACTACTGTCGTAGCACTCGAGGATTGATCTGTAGTCTGAGAGCTCGAGTCATGTTGTGTGGTAGAAACTAAGGAGGTTGATTGTATAGTTGAGGTGGTCTGGGAAGCAGCAGATGAGGTGATTTGGGATTGGGATTGGGAAGTGAAGGCGGAGGCTGAAGCGGAACTGCTGTTAGCAACAGATGCCGAAGTTGGAGTGGCAGAAGTAGAAGCAGGAGAGCTTGAAGACTGGGTTGGCGACGCCGTATCAGAAGTAGACGTCGCCACGCTGGAGGGCGTACTCGTAGAATTGCCCGACATTGTGAATTGCCTGGGTGCGACGATTCCAGGCCTTTTGTATTGCCTTCTGTAAGAAGCCATGTCAGCGAGAAAGAACCTCATGGTTTTGCGACATGTTGGGCAGCATGTTCTGATAGAGGTGTGAACGCGAGAACCATCTTACCTCAATCAGGGCTTAACTTTAGAATTGATCTGCAGCAGGAGCGATGTCTAGTGGTGCTGTAGAAGAGGGAAGCGATGATGTTTCGCGGTGGGAAAGAACGACGGACGATAATCCGTTGGATTGGGCTGGCGATGCTGACTGACAAAAGGTCGATTGAAGGAGAAGGGGCCGACCGTCAACTTTTCCAAATTAAAAGATGATAGGTAAAATGAGGGCGGTCACGACAATCGAATGTGTGCTTGCCTTTGCGAAAGGGCGAAAGGAGAAGGAAGGAATGGTCGAAAAACGACGATGAGTATGTTTGAGAATTGTAGGTGTGAAAGGGAAGTTGCTGGCTTGGCTGGATTGCGTGGGTGGGATTAATCTTGGAACTGCGTTGCGCCCCGACGCGAGAAGCGTAGACTCGTAGTGCACCAGATGCAGATGCGCCGAGCGAATGAATTTAGGGGAACGGGACGGGCGTAGTGTGAGAGTGAGAGTGAGTTTACAGTGAGGGTGAGTAATCACGGGGCCTCGAGATTGGGTGCTGTTACGAATTGAGCTCT